ATGATATTTCTAACCTGTGCTCCCTCAGCAGTGTTACATGAATATAGACAATCTGCAACTGTATTTGGCTGTGTCACCATATCGTGTGCAATCTGCTGCTCAACTTCATCATCAACATTAACCCCCTGAATCTCACAAAAGTTATGAAGTACAAAACAGGCATAGACTATCTCCGGAATAAATGTCAATTGCATGTTAATTCTTTTGTTTAATATTTGCCATCGGGCTTTTAAACGTCCAAAAGCACATTCTACTGGATTTCGTGCACTTCGAAGCATATTGTTAAATATGACCTCCTCGTTCGATTGTGGACTGGGGTACTCCTTCATGCAGAATGGTAGTAAAGGGTACGCTGGGTCACCTAGAAGTATGGGAGGGATCTTGTCATAACCAATAAAAATTTCTTGGTAAACCATTGGCAGTCTCTGTTCTCTAAGGAGGGTAGTTATTTTTGAGTTTGCAAATACACGCCCATCATGGACGCTGCCTGGCCAGCGAGCATCGACATTGAGGAATAAGCCTCTCCAGTTGCATACAGCTTGTACATTTAATGTGTATTTCATTTTGTAGCTGAAATAGTCGTGAGGATTTTCTGAGGGCTGTGTAATGGGGATATGTGTACCATCCACACAACCAAACGCTTGTGGAAATCCATATTTATTTTCCATTTGCTTAATTTCTTGCCTCATTTCTTGTTCTGATGAAGGGAGTTTAATATATATAGCTCCCAAATGTTTAGTTAATACCCGGCAAACCTTCCGTACAACAACCGAAACAGTACAAATGGCAACACCAAATGCATTTGCAGTCATGGAGAGAGATCCTTGATCCTTTAAAAAGTACAATGTCATTGCCAGTTGTTTCTCCACAGTTATAACATCGTCTCGAGGTCCTCCTACACCTGGCGCCAAGTAAGGTCGCAATTCGTCCGCTAATTTCATAAAAACTTGCTTCTCCATTCTTAGATTTTTCTTCCACTCGGACATAGGCAAGATTTCGTTAAAGAGGTTTAGCCACCACTGCTCAGTTCTACCAGGAATACGCCAAAATCTTCGACGACGTCTAACAATTCGTCTTCGTACATGTCTCAGAGAATATAAAGCAGTATTGCGCTCATTTACTGCTTGAACTGCTAGTTGCTGCTGCAGTCTTCTCTGGTATAATAACACAGAAAGTAACAGACCACAACATTGAAATATAGTAAGCAAATGAGCAAGAGATAGCATGATACAACTTGCCACCAAAACTTTGTGTTTCGGCGCCATTTTTCGAAAATAGACGGCTTAGCGACCACGCATAAGTAGGGTGACCCTACCGGGCAACATAGCCCTAGCAGTAGGGTCACCCTACCTCATGTAAACGCTCGCTTTTTTCTGACCCGCTTGCTAGGGTAACCCTCCTGATAGGGTCACCCTACCTCCATGTAAACAGGCCCTAAAAGTCATGAGCCAAAATTCAAAGACACGACAAAGAGTTTTCTTAATAGCTTTTACACCACAAACAAAATAATTACACTACAATGTTAATGACAGTAAGATAAAGTGTTAATTACTCGACTTAATAATATTCACTTTTCACACAACTATATTATAAAGACAGTAATTTATTTACTCATATTAATGTTGATGTTCACAGTTCCACAATTAGCTCCTTGTAGTAGTCCGCTCAAATCTATACCCTTTCATCGCTAACCGTCATTGCATCTGCTCTCTTCTTCATTGGGCTTTGGCATCAGCTTCCCATCGAGCGTTTGCTGAAGCGGCTTAAACTGAGCCGAATTAAACAGGTTTAACTTTGGTTATTGCAACTGAACTGTTCGGTTTAAACCACAAAACAGACTATACACGGCTTCATGGCGGTATTCTTTACCGTTTCTCTTCCGTACTTCTAGCGTTAATCGGCTAAACCAGTGATTAATTTCGTCAACGCTCATCTCCTGCAAATCTGGCACACGCTTGAATACTTCACTCTCGGCTTCAAAATCACGAAACTCGGTATTTCTTGCCTTTGCCCATGCTTTATAAACATTCGTGCTCCACCTAGTGTATTTGATAGTATTCTCAGGCGTTCTGTTATCTCTAACTTTCTGAACATCGGCTTCCATAACAAACCAGAAACGTTTATCCGCCATATCATTCTTAGTGAGCGTCCAAAAACAAGAGTTGAGTTAAAAAGTAACTCATTTTATATGCATACATGCACCCAGCACTAACACACGTAATTAAGAATTGTTTATTCGCAAACGAATTTCTGACAATGGAAAATTGTTGTATACATCACTGATCATGCATTGTATTACACAATACTCGTACTATCAATTAATTTTGTACAATGAAAACACTAGCCTCACCTCGGTCATCATGTTATTATAAACTAATACCATGGTTTTTAAGAATATAGTGAATAAATCTCCCGCAAACCGAGGGAGGTTTGTGAAAGTCCCTTGGGACGCCTTCGGGCTTCGCCCTCAGGCTTTCCCTCGGGACTTTCACAAACCTCCCTCGGTTTGCGGGAGATTTAATCACTATATTCTTAAAAACCATGGTATTACTTATAATAACATAAGCTTCGATTTAATGTTAAAAATCAACCACAAACGCTTCGCAAAACGTTTTAAAATGTTCTTTATAGATCTATGAAGTTTTTTAGCGGACAAAATATTTAAAATGTATCAATCGAGTTTATGCGCTATAAATTGATGTTATGTGCTATACATTGATGTTATGTACACTACATCAATGTCATAAACCGATACAACTAAAAGATAAACCGATACAACCAAAAGATAAAACGATACAACTAAAAGATGAGGAAACGGAAGTAAATACAAATAAAAGATGAGGATGTGGAAGTAAATTGGAAAAACGAAAGTAGACCGACTCGGCAAAATCGCGCATTGAAAAACATGGCAGAAGAGAGACAGGGCAGAGTACCAAATGGTCAGGATTTTGTTCAGTCAATCTTAAGCGCGATGACCAATTTACAGCATTCTTTGAAAACACGCGAAGAAAACGCAGTGTCACAAGGTCGTTCAGTGCAGCAGTTCCGCATCGTTATCAGAAGAACTGAATTCTCGTTTCCGAATACCACGTACTCAGAATTCGTCTGTACCAAATAATGCGTCTGTGTATAAATAATGTGTGTATGATTCGGTGATTCTTATTGTTAAAACACTCAATGTGCATTCATACTCTTCTAATCTACGACAATAAAATTCTGGCGAGTCACAATGAGTGCGACTTTGTTCAGCATTTCTTATTAAATAAACCAATTTACGAAAAAAGTTTCTGTATTAGGAGGCTTAGGAAGCCAAATGCGTGGTCCAAGGCACGCCATTGTTTAGCCTGCATGGCAGGCCCAAAGTTTTATGAGAGTTGTTGTATGTCGGCGCGTCGCTCTACTTCCGTTTTTCCAATTTACTTCCGCTTCCTCATCTTTTAGTTGTATTTACTTCCGTTTCCTCATCTTCTAGTTGTACCGGTTTATCTTTTGGTTGTATCGGTTTATCTTTTAGTTGTATCGGTTTATGACATTGATGTATTTGCATATAACATCAATGTATAGCACATAACATCAATTTATAGCGCATAAACTCGATTGATACATTTCAGATATTTTGTCCGCTAAAAAACTCCATATAGATCTAAGCTGCCTTATCGGTAAACTTTGAGTTTGAAATAAAATGATATCAAATTATGGCATGCAAATAACTTTGCTTTCTTTTTTATATAGTATTTTAATATAATAAAAAAGGGAAAATAGCAGTTACCAAAGCAATGACTGATTGGAACTATATTCCTGGACCTAGCTATCAAATCGAGTGAAATAGATGAAAACACCAGTCAAGCGAAGTCAAGCAGCGCCGATCATCAGCACGACGTTGGTCTATATGTTAATGAACCAATGGCTGACGAAGATTGGTTCAATAGTTACCGCGAAAAATGCGATCACGACGAACATCTTAAGCAACTACAACAAAAGCTTGATGGTTCAGAAGAATCGAGTAAATGGTAAATATTTTACTCTGATTTTATTGCGTGACTTCGTGCCTTGCCAGTGTTTCTACATACACAGTGTTCAAATTACAAACTATTAATATTTCGGGTGTAAATGTGGCAATTGTTGCATTGAACTGCTTTGTACGTAAATTATGCTAAAGAGCGTCAATGTAAAATGAAAATTAAGGAATGCATCGATTCTTTATTGTATTAAAGAGTACGTCGATTCTTTTCAGTATATAATCAACCGTCCTGGTTTTAATTAACAGCTTATTGCGAGATAAGTGGGTTCTCCGTTTAGCCGTCACGCAACTACGAATAAAAAAGAAGCAGGAATACCGTCAAACGAGCACAGAAGATAGGTAAATAAACTTTGGTCCTAGTATAGTGTATGGGATCTAGGGGTCTTTTAGATCCTAAAATTGACTAATTATTGTAAATTAGTCTGCAAGGCAGAAATTTTGTATCAATGACTGCATGGTGACGATTGAGTGATTAAATATTGTCAGCCTAATCTACTTATTTCATTTATCCTTATTACAAAACACCCGCATTATAAGATTTACAATGTTAATTGCACTGAGTGGAGTGCAATTTGGTCTGAAATCAAACGGGTGATTTGTAATAACGCACGACTTTTGTAATCACACGTTTGATTTCACACCAAAATTGCAGGACACGAATTGCAATTGCCACTTTATTATTTTCATTTTGAAATCTTAATTTTAAACTTGTAGAACGGAAACAGAGAATTCTTTACGAAAGACAACCCCCTAATTAAGGTAGCAACAAGCGAAAAAGTTGAACTTTCTTTAAATCTTGAAAAGTTTTACCAAACAAATTAAGAATTTTATGAATACTGTGAAAAGTAAAAGACAACCAATGTAAGTTTAAACTTATTATAGGTTTTATTAACAATTTGATAGGTTTTTGGTGCGGTTTTGTTCATTCAAACATGAACAAATTATAAGTTGCTTTTTGTTGCTATTTTCGCCATGTGTCACGAAGACCTCGCTCCTAATATGTCAATAATTATTTGTAAATTCTTTAATTTAATAGTTTAATTTAAAGGGTATGAGGAACAAAAAATTTATTGCATTTTATTGCTTCATCTGAAAGAGTATAAAAAATAAGCCGATTGGCCGTTTAATGCACTATTCTATCTCATCTGGTTCCGAAGTTATACGCAAAAATGTGCAAAATATAAATTGCTGATTCAGCACAACATGTGACGTCATTAGCTGGGTAAGTATGTTTATTGAATAGTAAACTGAAGCATAGCTTAGTTATTGTTGGCTCAAATCAAATGAAATTTTGCATACAGATAGTACACGATGAGACGCATGGGAAAATACTTCTAATTTTGTTGTCAAGGCAACACAGTCGTTCCCAGGCCCCTTACACTGATTTTGAATAACTATTATCATGCAAGTAAACTTTTAGCATGCATAGGTATGGTATATATACTTCTGATATTGTTTTATTCATATAAGTAGGCTACCATAAATAAAGCTTTTTTATAAAATTGGTGCAAGGGGCCTGGGAACGACATTGTTACCTTGGCAAAAAAATTAGAAGTGTTTTTCAATGCGTCTCATCATGTACAATCAGTATCCAAAATTTCATTTGATTTGGGCCCATAATAACTGAGACATGCTTCAGTTTAGTATTCATTAAACATACTTACCCAGCTAATGACGTCACACGTTGTGCTGAATCAGCAATTTGTATTTTGCACATTTTTGCGTATAAGTTCGGAACTAGATGAGATAGAATAGAGCAGTAAACTGCCAATCGGCTTATTTTTTCATGCTCTTTCAGATGAAGCAATAAAATTTTTTCTTGCTCATACCCTTTAAGCTATACTTTAATTTCTTTTATATGCAAAAAAAATAGCCAAGAATGCAATACTGTGATTTGTTTATTTTGCTCAATTTGCCAGATTACATTTTTCGTTTCGTTTTCGGTTTCCGTTCTCTATATACGAT